ATTTTTTTAGATGGGTAGATGACATGTGTAATGAACCCATGGAGCTGGAAGAAGCAAGAATTCACACTGTGGAGTTGGATGTTGCTGAAATTAATTTCAAGTTGAAGTATGTGGACATGATGATGAGAGAGTAAGATGTGAAGATTACTGAGCAAGGAATGAAGCTTCATGAGAAGGAAAGAAAACTGAATGATGTATACCTGAAGATGGTGGAGGAGTTAGATAGGATGGACAAACAAATTAGGACAGTTGATAGGTCAGCTAGGGTCTTAGGTGCTGCTTGTGTTGGTGTGATCATCATCTGAATGTTTGTTGTTAGTGTGGTAAAAGTGAAAACAAGTTACCCCAATGTATTTTTCCTTCAATGAATTGTAATGAGTACTCAGTACTGTTGTTATACAAATTAATGAAGAAGGTTGTATTATATGGAACTTTCTCTGTTGGTTCAAATCTGTCTGTTTGTGTATGGTATCATATGGCCTATTATAAAGAAGCTTTCAATGTATTCCTATATATCTTCTGGCATCATATATTTATGTATCAACTACTACACTACTGGATGCTAAGTTTCTTTTAGTATGGTATATTGCATAGTTAGGCATGGAATGAAGGCCAATAGCTTGCTACATTGTATCACAAACCATCCATGTACAGATATAGATGCAAAAATCATGAAATTGCTGTTACAGAAGTTCCATCTTGTTATGCACATTTGTTAACCATGGCAAAACACGATGTCCATTTTGGTCCCAAACAAATTACATCGAGTACCATTTTGGTCCCTGACAAAATTCTCGGGGCCCATTTTGGTCCCTGACCACAGAAAAATAGGACATGACTTCATTGATTTTCTATCCAGTACAAGTTTACAGAACAAAAGTGCATAACAGATGACATGGAGGTCCAACAATTACAATTACATAACTCAGTTAGGCATAACAGTAAAAAATGTACATGCTTGTATGACATTCGTCTACCCTGTTAGACATAACAGCTGGAACATTCATCAACCCTGTGACCATTTTGGTCCCTGACAAAATGCACGGGGCCCTTATTGGTCCCTAAACAGAGAAATGGCTGCACATACTTGTCTGCGTTTGTATGCAGTCCAAATTTGTTCAAAACAGAAGTGCAATACATTAGATACAGATGCTGTCCAATATGTTCAACCAGTAGACATGCAATACTCAGTTAACAAACATATCTCAGTTAAATATATTTGTCCAAGAACTACAAAAGAGTAGTGCATTACAAAATAAAGACAACTGACAGGAATGAAAAGAAAGGCCCCTAAATACAATATGGCCAGAATTCGAAAAAAAAAACATTGACTATATGAGGCCTCCAAAAACATAATGGCCAGAATTTACAAAAAAGTCAGTCACATTATATGTAGTCCTTGTTAGTTGGCTCATGCACTACTCCCACTTCATGTACAACATTCATTCATTTTCTTGAGGCAAGCCTTGGTGCCCTGAAACCAGGGGTGTTCATGAAGGCCAAAAATTTGCTTCATGTGCCACTGGATGCTGCATTCCTTGTTTCCTCACTCTACATTTCATTTGCCTGTTGTGGATTTGATGGAGGTGGGCTGCTCCCTCTCAAGTTGCCTCCATGTAGCTGAGAACTACCATGTGCTGCAGGGCTTCCTTGACTTAATGAGATTTCATCCATTGAGTTGGATCTAATCCATACAGATTCTGGTCTTGCTTGTCTATTTTTTTGTTGTTGGAAGATGGTGGTCCCTTACAGCTCTTTGCATAGTGTCCAGTCTGACCACATTTAGGACACTTGGGTGCATATGTCCTTTTAACTTTCTTTGTACTGCTCCCTTGCTCTTCAGTTGGGTCCTTCTTCCCCTCATTGAAGTACTCCCACTCGATCCCCCATGCCAGAAGAAACACTCATCTTCTCCCACGCCTAGCAAATCCGGTTGATGTCCTCTACTATCGTCGAGCTTCTATCATCAATGTCCAGAGATTTTGGGGGCGTATTGCTGTTTAGGGTTTTGCTCATCAATTTAGGGGATTTGTGTCTGTTTAGGGTTCGATTGAAGGAATTTGGGGTATTTTCATATTTAGGGTTCATGATCAAAGCAAGAAATGACGTCGTGCCCTACTTTGGAAAGCTCTGAACCGATTTGCAACAAAACGTCGTCGTTTGCTCATCCACGCTGTCCAACATCCAAGCCGCGTCAGCACACTAACGTGCAAAATGGGCACCGTTAGTTAGGCCATTACGGTGGAGTTCACAGAAGGACCAACGTGGCCCTTTTTTTTGTAATTTCAGGGACCAATTTGTTCCTTTTTTATTGCTAGGGATTGAAAAGGCCTTCGTGGATATTGCCAGGGACTAAAAATGGTATTTACTCTAATAATAATAATAATAATAATAATAAATAGGGTTTAGTAAGTGATAAAAAAATGCAAGCAAAACAAAAATTGATTGATTAGTATTCTGTCTTGATTTGTGATCGGTCTGTTTCTTTGTTATTTCTTTTAATTATTTACTTTTTTTTATAAAATTATTATGTTAATTGACATTGTTTATTTTGTTTAAATAATGTTTTCCTAAATAAATTCCATTGACCATATTTTTTTATTAAAATTAATCAATTTATATATTTTTTTTAAAACTGTAGTTTTGAGCTATGTAGCACCGATACCGATACGGGACACGAGACACGATACGACACGACACTTCGATACGTTAATTCTAAAAAATGTTAGATTTTGACACGGTAGGACACGTTTTGATATTAAATATTATTTTTAATTTATGTAATATATATTATATTTAATACTTAATAATTTAACAAAAAAATGAAGTTAAACTTAAAATACCCATCAATTTTGCAAAGAAACAAAAGATATCCTAAATATTTATATTAAACTCAAGAAAATGGTAATTGTAATCCAATGAATCTAATAATTGGAACTAAAAACGCAACGCAACGCAACCTTTGAACCTTTTTTTGAGTATCTACAATGCGTGTTGGAGTGTCGGAGAGTATCGAAAAGTGTCAGACATGACACGTCAGGATTTATGAAGTGTCGGTGCTTCATAGGTTTTGAGCTCTCATTACAGTTGAAATTTATAGACGGACAATGTTTATTTTGCATAAATTAAACTTATAGATTTTTTAAACTGGCACGCATCTGCTTTGATTAAATTTTGTAATTTCAGTTAGAAATACTGATAATTAAAAGGCTGATCTTGCTTTGGTTGAGTCATATTCTTTCTCTCCCGCTTTCTTCCAAAACTGATCAAATCCAAATCACGAACACCCCTAAAAACTAGGCACAACTGCTTACCAATAGGGGTGCTAAACAAACCAGGAGCTTTACAGGGGCCTTTGGCTCGACTCGTGAAGGCTTGAGCTTACATGTGTAAAATTGGTTGTTGGCACCAGACTTGAACTTGTATAAAAACTCGTTTAATAAAAAGGCCTTAGTCTCCAATTCAAAAGCTCGGCCTTAGAGCCTTTCAGGCTGACCTTGTATATTTTTTATTTTATTTTATATTTTTTATACTACTTGTAATAGTCCTCTCTTTCTCCTCAATCCATTTCACCCTATTTTATTGGTTAAACAGACTTTTTGAATGATTTTGTTCTATATTATCCTGTTTGGATATACATTGAATTTATGAATATTTATGAAATTACTAATGTTGTTGATTGTATATTCTGTTTGACTAAATTTTTGTTTTCTTATTTTTTTTAAACAGGGTAGCAGACTAAACCAGACTTTTATTTTTTTGTAAATAAGTCAAGTCACATGCCGATAATTATATTTATAACAGGTAACAAGCTTGGTCAGACTAACACATTTAAACACAAACTTAATCTTTTAAGATCAAAACTCGACTCGGTTTGGCTCGGCCCGTTAACGTCCCTACCTGCCAATATCGTCGTTGTTGGCATTATCTCTTCGACGAGCGCGCTATCTTTAGGCTTAATAAAAAGCAGTCTTAGTTTCGTGGGCCTAGTTCTGTTGTTGACCTTTTGACTGAATTTGATTAGTCTTGTACTAACTTGGCCTTTTTAGTAAATAAGTTATGCATAGACATTTTGTTTTTGTTTAAAAAAAAAACAAATATCTAAAATAAAATCATCATGATCATTGCTTATTAATTTGTTTAAAGATTTTATTGTGAAAGTACATTTTTAAATAAATTTTCAGATCAAATTAGAGCTTTTTCGGATTAGCCCATACCCATTGACAATTGGAAACATTGACGATGGGATATTGAATTACGGAAATGTTATATTTACAAATTTTTACAAACTACATTATGTCTGACCAGTAATACATTCTTATAATTTGTAAGTTTGTAAAAAAAAAATTTATAAACGGATCATTTCCCTTAAATTATTTATATATAAAGTAAAAAAGTTAAGCCTGATCTAAGTTGTTTATTTTAATCCCAAAGTCAAGGTACAGAACCGCAAGTCTGTGCTTACTGCTTAGTACTATTATTAAAGCTAAACTTCAAAATGTTTTACGTTAAATAGTGTATTATCTTGATGAGAGCGTGTTACCTGTGACTTATGTACCGTGTTTTATTACTATTGTTTTTCTTAGACATACAGAGAATTTTCTTTTGTTGTTTCCTTTAAAATTTAGACAAACTGAATCGAGAAAGATTTTGAAATACAAAATTTTTTGTAGTCTTTTAAAGAAAAACTTGAGACTCTTCACGGAAGAGATTAATAGATAAATACAATAATAACATTTATCTGCAATTCTACATGGTTTTCATTCTGTTGTTTATTACTTATTTAAGGTATAGGGCTACAGGTACTGGGTTGTATTTGAATTCCATTCGAATAATCATGACAGATATATATAAGTTATAAAACAACACCAGGCAGAATGGTGATATCTTTATAGCATAAAAGTTACAGAGGTAATCAATATGTCCGATTCTTTACAGCAATTATAAAGCTTATGGTGCTTGAAGTACAGCATAAAAATTTACGGACTATGCTTTATGTTTCATAACATCAGTTTTAGGGAATACCCCAGATTCATTGCTGTGGCTGGTGATTCACTGTATTGAGGCTGTGGCTGGCTTTGCTGGAGACTGATAGGCTCAAGTATATCATATCCATAGCTGATAGTGTATGAAGGATTTGATGTTGTAATTCCTTCTTCCGTACGTCTTGCTTCAATAACCTAGGATCCAAATCTTTAATTTAGGTTTAGCTAAAGTAAACTTGAAGCCTTTAACTTCTAATCTCGAGGATTGACTCAAGTGACAATATGAGTCCCAGGACGAATAAATTGCCAAATTAAAGAGGATGAGTTTCAATTCTGGAGAGAACTGTTGGGATAAGAATTAAATAATTGTCACGCCACTCAACTCGAAATCAGTCTCATATTTATTCAGATCCCTTTTTTTGCTCGAGTAGTGTGAATACTCGAGGGACCTGACTCTCCCCAAAGGGATAATCAAGGTCATAGAATTCAAAAAAAAAAAAAAAAGTCTTTTAACTTGTAGATAAATAGTGGAGGCTGAGTAAATGAGGGAAACCTGCTTGATACTCTGAACCCTCTCTATCTAGCTATTGTGCTTGTGTGTGTAGGCATTTTCATTGTACATGCTTCACTTTGTCATACGTACTTGAACTATGAGTATGAATGTCATATTCTTAAATTATAGAATGTGTTTAGTTGAAGGTTTACCTTCTGTAGTTCTGCATTTTCCTTATGGATGAGGTCTATCTTCTTATGAAGTTCTACATTTTCTTGATGAAGGTGACTTTCCTACAATAGCATCAATAGAAATCGGTCAGAAAATTGTGGGAATATCTTTGAATCATTATAGGAACAAAACCTGAATCCTGAAACCTTTTGGTGTAGTTCATTGATTTCATCAATTAAAATTTGATCCTGCAGGTAAATAAATGATTGAGAGTCATACATGTACTATAAAAAGAATGGCATCTTAAATTTAGTATGTTTGGATAGCTTATTTTGTATTCAAAATAATTTATAATTAAAATCTTATTGAAAAAAAGCTAGGAATTTTTTTTAAACTAAAAATTAATCAAAACCAAATGTATATGTACTTCAAATAAAGGAGCTTTGATTTGGTTTGACTTTAAACTGTGATACCTTTTTCATGCGAACGCCCTTCAAACTCATCTCCAGTTGATTTTCCAGACGTTGTAGCTCTTTAATACCCAAACCAGAAAGTTCTTCCCCCTTCAATTGCCTGCATTTACCGCAAAAAGAAAGTATGGAATCCTTGCTCGTCCTACATTTGTTTATTGCTGACAGATTATGATATAGGAATACAAAATACAGTAAGTTTCTTATCAAAACATCATTATTTGTTTCTGTTGTGTTTTCAAAAAATTTAAGAGTTGTTAAATTATAAAGATTTTAAACCTTTGATCTTGGATTTATTTAATTGTGCAGATTTACAAAAAGAGTCCTCTAAATCTTTTATAGATTCAGTGTCCTTATACCATAGGATATTAGTACCAAGGTTAAATCAGAATGCACTAATGGAGTTTTGCTACTAGTTTATCAAATCTTTCAAAGGGCTATGTTAGTGCGAGTCATTAATAATTAAGTTCCACATTACTTTAGAAATGGATTAAGGAACATATTAAAAAATGATCCACAACAATGTTTTAAGATTTTGGGTTGAAATGTGACGTAAAACTCGCTTGTTAACTATTTGATTCCTTACTTAACACATTGTTGAGTCCAAGGTTCATAGAAAAAGGACTAGTTAGGCATGCAGTTCAGCATAATGTAGATATGTAATTGTTGTTTAAGTAATACTTAGTTGGGTCATGGGGTGCCCTTGGTAGGGGGATCTAACATCATATGAATTAAGCTATAGGCTCCTTATCATAAGTGAGCCTGGACACCACACCTCAGCCAAAAACATAAAGACATTAGATTTATGAGTCCTCATCACGGGTTTGGAAGACTGGCAAATCCGAACACTAATTCACCATTATCTTTATGTTGAACCCTAAAGGTTACAAAGGTAAAATACTTAAGTTTTGATGATAACAAAGCTTCTACAAGCTCAACATGATTGCACAACATGGAAGGTAGTGCAACAAGTCTCAAATGGTGTTAAAAGACCATGACAATATGCAAAAGTGAAAGGACTAATCAAAAAGCCAAAGTCAACCCTAAAGTCAAATTTTCCAAGTCAAACAAGGCACTAAAATGTTCAAGACTTGAAAATCAATGAAGAAAATTGAAGACAGAGACGTACACTATTATATGTATTATTTTGATGTTATGGAAACTTAGAGAATAAGTATATTGAGCTATATCTACAAAAGAATGCATCATAAGTCATATACTTACATATTAGGAACATACATACTTGAATTCATGCATAAAAAGTCACACAGATGAAAATTTGTTAGATTGCTGTTAGAGATATTCATCCATGTTTTAGAAGTGGTTAGAAACCATTTAGAATTGAATTGGATCGAAAATTGCATGAATTAGTGTTGTAGTAGTTGATATATCCATATACAAATTATCACATATCTGAATACGGATATCTGGATATGTCCTATTCAATATCTGGATACGTGCCCGATGTATGTCCGAATACGTGATAGTTATGAACTTAAAATTTGAAATTAAGAGTCCAACGGCTATAAACGATTGTGATTCTCATATGATTCCTATATAAACATATAATTAGGGTTTCTAAACAGTTTTTAGGAGAGAAAAACGCATAAGCTCAGAAAATTCAAGAATCATACCCATTTAAGCTTATTTTGCATATTTAGAGAGAAAAACTCAATATTCCTCTTCTTTTCATCTTTTTCTCTGATTTCTTTTGTAATTGTAAATGTAGAGAGGTTGATCTACATGTTTTTTGAGTTATTTTGTTGCTGTATTTCATTTTGGTCAGTTGGAGTGATTTTGTAGGGTTACAGGTTGAGTTTAATCAAGGTTAATCAAAGATCTTGTAAAATTCCAATTGTACATCGGTTTCTCAAGCACCGGTTGAAAGTTCTGAGCTTGGTGGAACGTCGCCGTCAGTTTGGATGTAGACCTCTAGTGGTTTGAGGGTGAACAAGGATAGATCTTGGTGTTTGATCTACCTTACCCTTATCTCTTTAATTTCCTCTGTTAATTTTCTGTTTGTGATGTTGTTTACATTGCTTTGAATATGCTTTTGTGTTGGTAAGGGTTGGATTTTTGTTCTGCCACGTTTTCTAGAGATTCCTGGTTAAAGGGGCTTGAAAAGTAATATTTCTTAGAAAAGAAGTTAACCACAATTCACCTGTAAGATCCCGGGCGCTGACGAGGACGGGGAGTGATCGCCGATGGAAAAGGGCATGGACAAGGAGCGGCTCCTGGCAGGCTTCCAGCGACAGGAGTACATGAATGAATCGAATCAACACCCGAAAGAGAGAGATTCCAGAGACTGTGCTGGTATGGGATGGTACAATTGAGAATGACTTATAAGAATTAATTTGTACTACCTATACTAACAAGATGCATCTGCTTTTCGGTAGCCCGGATCAGAAGAACTCCACAATTAAGCGTGTTTGACTTGGTGCAATTCTATGATGGGTGACCTCCTGGGAAGTTTTTCCTGGAAGTTTGCGAGTGAGGAAAAAGCACACTGAAAAGTCTCGTGTTAGTATGTGGGGATAGTCATTTATTCTTGAAGCGGTCGGGCGTTACAAGTGGTATCAGAGCAGGGCCTCTCTTCCAGTACGGTGTGGTTCGAGGATGAACCAGGCGAAAGCTGGTGGGCATGTAACATCCCGGGTGCTGACGAGGGCGGGGAGTGATCGCTGGTGCGAAAGGGCATGGACAAGAAGCGGCTCCTTGCAGGCTTCCAGCGATGGGAGTACATGAATGAATCGAATCAACACCCGAAAGAGAGAAATTCCAGAGACTGTGCTGGTATGAGATGGTACAGTAGAGAATGACTTATAAGAATTAATTGGTACTACCTATACTAACAAGATGCATCTGCTTTTCGGTAGGCCGAATCGGAAGAACTCCACAGTTAAGCGTGCTTGACTTGGAGCAATTCTAGGATGGGTAACCTCCTGAGAAGTTTTTCCGGAAAGTGTGCGAGTGAGGAAAAAGCACACTGAAAGGTCTCGTGTTAGTATGTGGGGATAGTCATTGATTCTTGAAGCAGTCGGGCGTTACATCACCCCTTATCTTATGGTATTCTAAGACATTCTTGTTCAACACTTTAAATACTGGGTACACACATACAACAATCAACCATTGACTCTTATACCAATGTTGGGTCACAGGGGGTGGCTATAGTGGGGGAAAATCTACCATTATATGAGATAAGCTACATATTCTCTATTATAAGTGGGCTGGGACACCACATCTCAACCCAAAATCATAGAAAATTGAGTTTATGGGTCATTTCACTTATATGATCTTAACTTAGCACATTTCTAATAATGTGAGAATTTACTACTCACACTTGGATTCTCATTCCCAACACTTCACCTATTGTGGGCTTGTCGCAAAGGACCATTTGATGTGTGTATGATAGTCTCCTATATTTTTAGGCTCCACCTGGTTGTTGCCCAATAGCAGTATCATAACCGATCGTTAATTGACTTGTGTGTGCCGAATATTTGGAGATGATGGTTGGTGTTCGGGTTTGTAAGGCTTCCAAATCCATGTTGTCGAACCAAGATTTGCCCATTCTTGGTTTGTAACCCTATGAATACTTGAAGATGTTTTTGCTTGAGGGGGAGTTGATAGAACTCACACTTAAGGGGAAGATTGTTGAAATTTCAAGAGTGAGTGAGAAAAGGTCCCACATCGGGATGGAATGGGCTAGTTAAGGTATACATAAATGAAAGGAATCGTAAATTCAATATCTTAAGATTTTAAATTGAGACATATTGTCAACATTTATGCTGCCTTGTTACATTTTTCTTACGTGTGTTTAATGCGTAAATGACACTAATATAAATCATTCAAATAAATGCTTACACAATTCCTGTCAAAGCACAAAAGAAAATGGTTGCAAGTGTGTGAGAAGCTAATGGGTTTTCTTTTGATGGGTGCAGGTTCAATACAAGTTGCGGGATTTATGTTTTAAGCCATGTATGTTTATTATGGTCACTTTAAGCTTCATTTTAAATGTTAAAACATATATGATTCTTTAATGATAAAGGTTTATTTGTTATGAAACAGAAGTGATATGAGTGGATAGGTGTTTATACTTTTTAAATTTACCCGAAAGCTTCGGGAATAGATATATATGAGTACTACTAATAATCCCACCCTTCTTTTTATAGATGAGTTCAACGTTTTATTTCCTCCTAAAAGATTTACTAATAATCATCCATTTTTCTATGAGTTGCATGAAATAATTTTGTCTGATACGACATGTGTTGAGATATATAGTCCCACATTGGTTGTATGAGCAACTAATGTGGAGTTTATAAGGCCTTGGACACTCCCACCCTTTGAGCTAGCTTTTGGAGTGGTGTATCCCAAAGTTCTTTACATGGTATCAGAGCCTTGTGTCCCAGGTTTGATTCTCACCGCCCCCACTTTATTTCTAGTGGAATTTCTTTCTTCGCACAAGTAGGTGAGCCTGTGCATTGTCCACCCTTCAAGCCCAGTGGGCTCTCGTGTGAGGGGGCGTGTTGAGATATATAAAATCATTAATGTATCCTCACCCAATAGCTTAAGCTTTTGGGTTGAATTGGTTCTTTACATGGTATGAAAGCCTCGTGTCCCGGGTTCGAACCTCGCCGCCCCCCACTTTCATTGTAGTGGAATTTCTTTGTTCGCACAGGTAGGTGGGCTTGTGCATTGTCCACTCTTCAAGCCCAATGGGCTCTCTTGTGAGGGGGCGTGTTGAGATATATAGTCCCACATTGGTTGTTTGGGCAACTAATGTGGAGTTTATAAGGCCTTGGGCACTCTCATCCTTTGAGCTAGCTTTTCGGGTGATGTATCCTAAGGTTCTTTACATGGTATCAGAGCCTCGTGTCCCGAGTTCGATCCTCGCCGCCCCCCACTTTCTTTCAGGTGGAATTTCTTTGTTCGCACAGGTAGGTGGGCCTGTGCATTATCCACCCTTCAAGCCCAGTGGGCTCTCATGTGAGGGGGCGTGTTGAGATATATAAAACCGTTAATTTAGCCTCACCTAATAGCTTATCCCAAGGTTCTTTACATGGTATCAGAGCCTCGTGTCTCGGGTTCAAACCTCGCTGCCCCCACTTTCTTTTGTGGAATTTCTTGGCACAGGTAGGCTGGGCCTGTTGCATTATCCACTTTTCAAGCCCAATGGGCTCTCGTGTGAGGGGGCGTGTTGAGATATACAGTCCTACATTGATTGTATGAGCAATTAATGTGAAGTTTATAAGGCCTTGGGCACTCCCACCCTTTGAGCTAGCTTTTGGGGTGGTGTATCCCAAGGTTCTTTACAACATGAAAGACATATTCCCCTAAATTTATTTACTTAACTCAAAAAGAGTTTTTGAGGAGGGAGTTTTGGAGCAGTGGTAAGATTATTCTTTGTTATTGAAAGATTATAATTTTTTGTAAAGAACTATTTTAACGCAAAACCTTAAGGTATTAGGTGATGACATTTTTAATGCTTTTATTTTATTCTCTAACACACCCCCTCATGCAAGAGTCCTTTGGGCTTGAAGCGTGAATATGGCACAAACCCATTTTTGGTTTGCATTGTGCTACACAAGCCTATTTTTTTTTTTGGTCTGCCTTGTGTCTTTCTTAATTCCACGTGAAAGTGGGGGCAGTAAGGATCGAACTCGCAACCTTGTGGTCACTAAAGCTCTGGTACCATGTAAAGAACTACTTCAACCCAAAACCTTAGGTATTGGGTTAGGCTAAATTAATTATTTTGTATCTCTCTAACATTTTGAATATGAAAAACAATTTCTTTGTAAAAATTGCAAGGTTATGACCGCGTACAATCTACATTCACATATCAGGGAAGCTTGTTTATTGGAATTTGCCCTTTAACAAAGAGAGTTCAAGTAAGCGACAAATCACTATGCTTCTGGCTTGCTTCAATTAAAATTATGCAAATGCTGGGTGTTTAACCTTTTACCTGTGGCTTTCCTGCAAGTCCTGCAGTTGTTGCCTCAAGCTTGCTGCTTCTCTCTGCCAAAACTAGCAAGTAGTAGTACATATATTAGACATATACGTATATAACATCATTATTAAATAAAGGGATATATTTTTCTTATGTTGTAGGAAAAGAATTATCTTATGTTGTAGAAACAAAAGTATAAGTGGGACCCACATGTAAGAGGAGAGAGAGAAAAAAAATGGTGGGACCCAATCCCTTTTTGTGTGTGTAGGAGAGATGTTTATCTCATGTAAAATGAGATAAACATAACCCTTAAATAAACTAATGGTAACAAGGACCAAAGTCTTAAAAAGAGAACTAAAAAGTAATATGGGAATAGGCAAACAGCCTGCTAAGAGTTTACGATCTAGTTTATTTTTTTAGCTTAGTTTATTCATGAAATAAGTTAGATTTACATTTTTAAAAGAATCTATTTAACTAATTAAGTTAAAGATTAAGCCTTTATAAAAGCCTATTTAACATATCAAAATAGCATATCTATCTTTTATTAAGATATGTAATTAATAATTTATGATACTAACATAATTTGTTAATTATAGATTAATATAACATATTAATTTCATATAGAATATAATAATTTTATTAAAGATCATACTAAATTAAAACTAAAAAAGTAAAGTCTTTTCTTTATTTATTTATTTATTTTTGCTTATTTGAATGTTTAAATATAATGTTGACCTCTAAATAAGATTTCAGGTCAGCTTATATTTTTTTGTTTTTATATAAAGGTTAGGCCAAACCTAAAAAAAGTCTATAATGATTATAAGGCAAAGTTAAATCGATATTTTACAAAAATAGTTTAAACTTATTTAATAAATCTAACTTCACGTAGCGTATTTTCATTCTGAATTACTCCCAAGGGTAAATAGACACAAAAAAATAGGCTTTTGATACTCAGCTTATATGTGATAATACCTAAGATACTTTTGTATGTTGCTTATGTTTGGAATGCTGGTATCTAGAAAAAATCTGTAGAGCGACAGAATTGTTTGGAATACAAGTTTTTTCTAGTAGTATATAGAGTCTAATACTGACATTCTCGGTATCCAATTTGCATTTTGAATCTTTTAATTGTCAAACTAAACGGTGGATTTTTTATTTTGGTAAATAACCTGAAGGTATCATCCCCACATAATCTCTTCTAGCCATCTTGTTCTCAGAGTACGGCCAATAAAACTAACTCCTCATCCAAACAAAGAGTGCATTGGACCATTATCACCGGAGAAAGGGTAAGACTAATTCCAGATATTATTTGATACTAAGATGCCTCACCTACATGGAGATTTATTATTGGAAGAGAGTAGGAAATATTCCATTTTGTAAGTTACTCTATCTACCTTGTTTTTCTCATTTTTTTCTTTGAAAAACTCATGAGATTAAGGAGACCATCTGCAAGAACTCGCACCGTTAATTAAGGAAGTTAATTAAATAATTAAGAGAAATTAGGAAATAATTCCATAATTGACCCTAATAATTATTATGAGGCTTTAATAATTATAGTAAGTGAGTAATAATGCTGAAAGTCGCTTTTCTGACGAAAAGTGCAGATACCGGTTCTGCTACTCGGTATAAATGCGTACCGATGAAGTATCCCGAAAAATTATAATAAGTGTGGGAATATTACTAGAATAATATATAGGACTTCTAAAACAAGTTTCAAGACAAAATAATGAGAACTGGTGCCAGAACTGATACTGGCTATGGAAAAGCGCGTACCAGAAAGGTGCTGCGAAAAATATTATAAGAATATGAAAAATCTTAGAAAAATGAGTAGGTTCAGATTCCAAAGTTTGGGATTAAAATGATAAACGTAGCTATTAGCGCTAATACAGTGCGATTAAGACTTAAGTGACTATATATAGATAATGACACATGATCCTAGGTCATTTGTTGCCTCCTACGTGAACATTTCTCTGAGCTTCAGCTTCTGCCTCCCTTGCCACCCTCTCCTCTCTTCATTTTGTGAGCCAAGGAGCCACCTTTCTCTTTGAAACCTTCACCTAATTAACACCATTGTTGATTGAGAGTTGGTCTTGTCAGGGTGTTGTGTACTCCTTTGTGATGTGTGAGCTTCTGAGTTGGAGGAGGGTGGGCTGACCTTGTTGGTTTGGGTTGTGGGAGTTTGGGGTTGGCATTTTGAGCTTCAAAGTGTCATCTTTGTAAAGAAAGGATCCATCTTTGTGTGTCATTTTCGTGCACCTTGTGAAGTCAAACTTGAGGAGCTGTTGGTGAGCTCTAAGAGCACCTTCTTGCTCTATTTTGAGCTTGGGTAAGTGTCACCCACCTTGATCATGAGTTTTAATGGTTAAAAGTGGAACCTTGATGCATGTAATGAATTAAAGTTAATAACTTAAGGTTGGGTAAGGTTAAACACACCTAGAATTGCATGTTTAAGCCTCTGGAATCATGAAATGAACCACATTTGGATTGATATCTCGCGAAAATGCAAAATCTGAGTTCTGTCGCGAAATATCCGGATATTGATATCCGGATATGGAGTTCTGAATATCCAGATATTGCAAGACAGATATCCGGATATTGATATTCGGATATGCCCCCGACAAATATCCGAATCTTATGGGTTTTCGAATAACAGTAGTTGCACTTTTCATACAGAATGATGTTTGGGGTTTGTGGACCCTAGACTGGTTAAGTTGAGCTTCTGTATTGATTAGTTAAGTCAGAATCTAAGTGATTAAGGGCTTGTGGCTTTGTGAGAAGCCTTAAGACATGAAATGTAAAGGAAAGACGTTGTCCTTGTGTCTTATACTTGTTGAGTATGATTTTGATATGATTGTTGGTCTAAAACAGATTGTGATTCTGCTGTGTTTGGGCTTTGAGATTGGTTGGACTCTTGGCTTGGATTGTTAGCTTGCAAGGTAAGCTTTCGTGTCCTCGGTTTAGCCATTGTTGGTTCCACCATGTCCCATGGGGGTATGGTTATATGCATGATGTTGTTTTTATGATATATTGATTTGTTGAAATGCGGTTGAACTGTTATATGCGAGTGCCTTTATGATATGCATGTGGTGTTCCACCTATATGGTAAGCCTGAGTATGTGGTACATACAAGAGGGTGAGGCTGTGGGTGAGGTGCAAGCGATGTTCCTTGTACTAACTGTAGGTAATAGACGTATTCCTGCATTTCTCTGGACAGTAGAATAGTTAAAACACACATGGCATGAATATCTGTTGCACTGCATAGTTTTGGAACTCATACTGTTAAATGCTTTTGAACTTATATTGCACATGTAAGTGAGCTTGGGGTGGAAGATCCTTGAGGACCCTTTGTCTTACTGAGATTTCTTGTTTAGAGATCTCATCCCACGTTTGGGGACACTTATTTCAGGTTCAGGTAATTTGGGGGCTGATGCCTCTAGTGGCAGGAGGCCGGAGCTTAGCTGATATTGATGTTATATGCTGACATGTTTGGGTGCTGGATTATATTTGCTGACGTTATGCTTTTATCTTGTTAATATTATGTTGCTGTTGTTGAGACTTTTGTGGGCTTTGTTGCCTTATTTGGTGAGCATGAGATTTGTCCATGCCACATTGATGTTAGTACTTTTAGCTTGAGTTATATAAACTATCAGGGTTGTCCGGTCTACGTGTTGTAGTTCCGTGACTAGAGACACATTGATGTTAATTTTATATTGAGGTATTTCAGTTAGCTGTCTTTTGCAATTTACATACAGGCAATGTTTTGAAAGAGGATTTTAATAATCAACTTGGCTAATAATAATGACGTCATAATTGAAAAGAAAAAGATATTCCGCATTTTTAATTAAGTGTGACTTAATACGATGACATGTTAACAAATCGGGTATACACGTGGTGTTACACCATCTAAGTACGCTTACGAAATAAGTTTATATTTTTCAAAGTTTCCTTCATATGTCAATTAATGCTAGGTTAAATATGCATGTATACCTTCTTTTGAGGACTTATATTAAATTTTAAAGGTAATCTAAAATGAGAGCCTTTGAATCATTACGATTAGATACCACCCGTTGAGCTAATTTTCATAAGCAAGTATATAATCAATCAATTCAATCCCAAAGCAAAGTTGTTAGGCGAAGATTATATTAATAATTTTCTTATATTTTTTTAACAAATTATTCCTAAAACATTGAGTAAAAGTTTTACGAAGAAGGTGAAATCTAAAGTTGAACAGTTTTTGAGGTTTACATGGGAATATTGTATCTGTAACAACAAAATACAGTATTGCCAAGAACGATGGCTACCAGTGTTAACATTATTGGACTAAAGATTGAACTAATTAGTAATATCGTATAAGATAATAATGGCCGGGTTGTTCACATTTAGATGCTAAATTCAAGTTAATATAGTTTTATTATCTGTATTAGATGACCTTTAGAAGAAAATTAACCAAGATATTAATTGTTCCTTAATTTTTTATTAAAGTTTTCTTTTTCTTGTTATTCGGGATTTTTCTTCTCTCCTCTTCCTCTCTATCTTAATGCTTCTAATTAATTCTAAGTGCTTTGTGATGCCAATACACATGCAAATTATAGGAATCATGAATATCTAGTAGGTAAAGCTACATGCAGGAGAGCTTGAAGATAACTGGAGGAGTGGTACATGGACTGTGTTACCTTGACTTGTGAAGCAGGATCCATTAGTTGATGTTCATCCTCCTTTTGCTTGTTATATCGCTCAATAATTGATTTCATGCTGCCATAAATGTAGGAGCCAATATTAATGAGATGGAAAATAAACTCTTTTGAAATCCAAAGTAATTTAAAAAGGTACTTTTATCAATACAATTTTATCTTATATGCAAGGCATGCACAATAATACTTTACCAAAATAATAATAATATGTACATTGTATAGTATATAGTTTTATACTACCAAAAAATTAAATTTAAACTCTAAAAAAAAATATTTTCAACTTCTATTACTAAAAAGTGTTAACGAAAGAATTCCATAAGTAAACAAAGTGCTTATAATAAAATATGAGGAGTAAAACTGCCCATTTATTCTTATATTTATTGTGAAAAAAACTAAAATACTAATAAAAAAGCATACAAGTTCTTAAAAGGTTTACATAATCTAACAATTTTAATGTATATTGGAATTTGTAGCTTTTTTTAGAAGTAATATGATAGTAGCTCAGTTGGCGCCAGAAAACTGGGCACCTAAGGGTGACAACATGTAAAGAGCGAACTATGTGAGCTTTTCATTATAATGGAGGCTATTAAATAAATTCCATAATTGACCTTGAATAATTATGATGGCTTAAATAATTAATATATAGTAGAATTTAATAACGCTACAAGTCGCTTTTCTGACGAAAAGTACAGATACCGAGTTCTGCTTCACGGTAATGGCGGACCTAGCTTGGTTCCATTGTCTGCACTTGCAGACATAAAGTTGAGGAAATTTTTTTTTACATAGGGTGTGTGATTCAAGTCGAGTAAAAAAAAAATAGAAAGATTAAAAGGAAAAAGGTAAAGAGTAGAGGAGAATCACATGGGATTTTTCATGTTTTTTTATGAAGTAAAACTGGTCAACTTTGGATCTAATAGACATCGATAAAGGTGGGTTTTTGATCGATTAACCCCTACAATAATACTATATTTTACAAATGTCTTTTGTGGTGTTTATTTATTTTTTAATTATCATTATCGATTATTTCCTTAAAACTTTGGTTGATTCACCAAAGCTTTACTTTTGAAGTGGAAGCAAAAATTGGATCATGATTATGATCTTTAAAAAAAACGGGGGCGGTGTAATGCTCGACCGCTTCAAGAATCAATTACTATCCCCACATACTAACACGAGACTTTTCAGTGTGCTTTTTCCTCACTCGCCGAGAAAACCTCCCAGGAGGTCACCCATCCCAGAATTGCTCCAAGTCAAGCACACTTAACTGTGGAGTTCTTCCGATCCGGGCTACCGAAAAACAGATGCATCTTGTTAGTATGGGTAGTACCAATTAATTCTTATAAGCTATCCCAAACTATGTAGTCTCATACCTGCACAGCCTTTGGAATCCCTCTCTTTCGGGTGTCGATTCGATTCATTCGTTCATGTAACCCCCCGCTGGAAGCCTGCCAGAAGCCGCTCCTTGTCCATGCCCTTTCGCACCGGCGATCACTCCCCGCCCTCATCAGTGCTTGGGATATTACAGGCGGCACCTCCGAACCCCCTGCCATGAGTGTGCAGACATAAAGAAAATTTTATGGGTCTGCCACTGCTTCACGGTATAAGTCCGTACCGGTGAAGTATCCCCAAAAACTATAATAAGTGTATGAATATTCCTAGAATAATATTTAGTAGAGTGTTCATCAACCGATCCAAACCGATTCAAACTGCGGTGATCGAACTGAAAAACCAAAAACCGAAAAATCGAAAATCGAAAAAACCCGCAAATTTTAATTGGATTGGATAGGTTTTTGGATGGGTTGATGAAAATCGATCCAATCCAAACAGATCCGATATATTATTTTTCCTCTACCTACTTGGGTCTTTCCCTAATCATAGCCTAAAAATTTCTAAACCCAAGACCCATTAACCCATCTACTAAACCCAAGAAAAAATCTAGTCACATCTCATCAACAAAATTTTATCTTTGTAGAGCTTCATATCTCATTGCCAAAAAAAAACTATATTATAGTTTACTAATACTTTTGTATTTGAAAAAAAAAAATTTACAAAGCCAATATATAGAAAAGATGTTATTTGGACAATAATCACGAAATAAATTTTAGAATTTTCAAAAAATCGAAAATCGATCCAATCCAAACCGAAAAAAATTGGATTGGATCGGATGATTTTTGCTTCTAAAACTGATCCAATCTAGACCGCAAACACCCCTAATATTTAGGACTGGTATATCAAGTTTGGAGTCGAAATAATGAGAACTGACATCAGGACTGATACTGGCTACGTAAAACCGCGTACCGAAAAAGTGTTGCGAAAATTATAATAAAAATACGACAAATCCTAGAAAAATGACTAGGTACAGAATCTGAAGTTTGAGATTAAAATGATTAGCAGAGCTATTAGTGCTAATACCGACGGATTAAACTTAATGCACCTATATATACTAAGTGGCACTAAACCCTAGGTTGATTTCCTCTACTCCTACGTGACACTCAGAATTTCTCTAAACCTTTCTCCTTGCCACCCCCTTCTTCTTTGTGAAACTCAATCAGAAGACCAATTTTCTTCATTGTTCCTTCACCGAAACACCATAGCTTGGTGTGAGCAAGCATTGTGAGGGAGAAAGGCCCTCCATTTCTGAGTTGAACTTCTGAGTTGGTAAAGTTTTGGGCTGACTTCTTGAGTGTTAAGGTGTGAGCCATTTCCTTGAGGTGTGATGGCTTCAAGAAGTCATATTTTGGTGTAAAAGACCAAGCTTGTGTGTCAAATTCGTGGCCTTGTGAAGTCTGTAGGTTGAGCTGTCTGGGAAGCTCTAAGTCACTTCCTTTTTCTGAGTTTTTGAGCCTAGAGGTAACTTATGATCAATTCCTTTGAAATTTCATGGATTTTCGCTTGTTTAAGTCATTAAAAAGGGAAACTTTGATTACTCAAGTTGAATGTTGATAATCTATACTTGAAATGTAGTAATGAACTCCTGTTTGTGGAGTGATTGGACTCCAAATCGTGAAAGGACCCTTAAAATGGTGATTATGCAGAAACTGCACGAGTTTCTGCATCCTGTCTGATAAGTATTCGAATAATTTTTGTGAAGTATTCGAATACTCATCAAAAGGTATTCGGATACTCATCAAGGAGTATTGGGATACTTTTCTTCAGAAAAGTATTCGGATACTGTGTGGTATTCGAATACTATAATGAAAGTATTCGGATACTTTGTGGTATTCGAATACTTTAGTGAAAGTATTGGAATACTTTCTGGAGACATGGAGTATTCGAATACTCATCGAGGAGTATTCGAATAACTCCTGCAGATTAAGCCTAAAATCACTTAAAATAAGTTGGAAAGTCCTAAACACTTAGTGAAACTTTGAGGCTATGAATATCAATGCTATTCTTGTTATATACAGACTGTGATTGTGCTGTTTGGTGACCTTGGGCTGGTGTGGACTCTTGATTAGATGTTTAGCTTGAGAGGTAAGCTTTCGTGTCCTCGATTTTGTCCATTGTTGGTTCCACCATACCTCATGGAGGGGTGGTTATATGCATGCTGTGTTTTTATGAAAATAAATTATGATTCTTGATATGCTATTGAGTTTTTTGATTAAGTGCAAGTGCCATATGATATGTATGTGGTGTATCACCTTGACGATAACCCTGAGTATGTGGCGACATACAAGATGGTAACTCCGTGGGTGAGGTGCAAGCGGTGTTCCTTGTACTGTAGGTTGTAGACGTATGTAATCCCTACCTTTAATTCTCTGGCCAATAGGATGCATACACACATGACATGGATATATGTTGCATTGCACAAGTTTTGGAAATTATACTATTATACTGTGTTGGAACTTATATTGCACATGTAAGTGAGCTTGGGGTGGAAAGATCCTTGAGGACCCCTTGTCTTACTGAGATTTCTTTTTAGAGATCTCACCCCGTGTTGGGGCACATTTTCAGGTACAGGTACCTCAAGGGTTGATACCTCTAGCGGCAGGAGGCCGGAGTTAAGTTGATTTATACATACTGCTATGCTGATATGCCTGGATGTTGATTATGCTTTACGGTCAGTAGATTGTTATTTGAATTGAGACGTTGTTTGGCTATGTTGCCTGATCTGGTGAGCATGGAGGTTGTCCATGCCACATTGATTTCTGTTATGCTATTTAGGCTTGAGTTGTATAATGTATCAGGATACGGTCCATTCTACGTGTTGTAGTTCCGTTACTCGATACTATTTTTGATATGAGGATATTCAGTTAGTTATTTAATGCAATTTACATATAGGCGATATTTTGAAAAAAGATAAGTAATAAACTTGGTTAATTTAATATGTATATAATTGGAAAAAAAAGTTAGCTTCCGCATTTATTTAGCTGCGCCATTACCATATGTATGTGTAATACACCGGGTGCACACGGGGTGTTACATTTTACGGTATCAAAGCACTTCCTAGGGAAAAAGCCTGTATGTATTGCAATAACTTAAGATGTCTTTTTGTGTAAATTGTTTGTTGTGTTTCTTTTGGGTTTTTGCTATGATGATGCAAGTGTGACCACATGGTGTGGGCCTGATCAAGTCATTCTTTGTGTAACATGTGCAGAGTCATGGTACTTCCCCGGAGGAACCGAGAGACGAATGAGGGTCAGCCTAATCTTGTCTTGACTGTATTAGCTAAGATTCAGGCGGCTAGACAAGCTGACCAGTAGGCCATCAGAGTGGCCAATCAGGCTATGCTGGACGCCGTGAGAGAGGCGAACAGGAAAGGTACAGAAGACGTACATGAGGCGAACAGGCTGGCGAATATGACCATTATGAGGGTCATGTTGGAGGAGATGAGGGCTGGCCGCAATGAGGGTCAGTTTCCTCCGCCACCACCGCCACCTCCATCTCCACCTAATCACCATGATGGGGACGGAGGAAGAGGAACACATATTCCCGACCACGATGGTTTGAGTCATATGGAGGGTGTGAGCCACTTGACGGGACTGATGCAGCCTTACCTTGAGCCCGTAGAGGATCACGAGACCATAGATCGCCGATTGAATGCTTTCCGTAAGCATAAGCCAC